CGGACAAACGTCGGTCGCCGGGCAATTTGCTGCTGAGTTCGTTCGCCTCGTCATCCCGCTTTTTCATCCATGGGCGGACAATTGTCTCGAGAGCGCCTGACTGGACGTAGGCGTACTTTTCTACCAGCCTATCGAACGATGAGCCGCGGCAAGAACAAGGAAAAAAAAGGTCTTTGGCTGAGTGGAAGAAAAAACAGTTGTCACGCCTTCGCGGCTAACTGCTACGGGCCTAGTGTGCCGACATGACACCTTGTAATGCTACATGACGTGTGGTATACGACGTTATCACTCACACTGCGAGCTCGGGGGACCACTCGCTACGAGCGCCGAATGCCGCCTCAGTCCGTTCCATGAAGTCATGTGCATCGTGAGCGAGTTTGGCGACGTCAGGTAGATCATCGCCCGTTAGCGCCTTCGAGTTGTCGGATGAGGAGCGGAACCTGGCGGGGAGGGTGGGGGTGGTGGTGGAGGCGTTGAAGAACCTCGCGCACAAATGAAAGCCGTACCAGACACACATTGACAGCCTCAGATAATTCGGGAGGCTTGGGATATCTGACCAGAACATGGGTGTTTCACGTTTGTGGTGAGGGATTAAGGCTAGGTACTTTGCCACACGCATGCGTGTCTTGCACGGCCGGCCAACTCAATGCTCACCTAACCATGTGTTCGAGCATAAGAGCTTGAATCGCACCACTGGTCTGACCGGCTTCACCAAACGCGCTGTGGCTGAGAGTGGTCCACGTAAGGGACGCCATGTGGATGGAGGGGTCTTCGTGAGATCTCTCTTGGATCCGCTGCAGCGCCTGGAATCCTTCCGTCGTCAGACAATTAACGGCAGCCTTATGGCGGCGGACGGTTGATTGGCTAGGTGGAGAGAGACCCCCCTGCGTTCCGACAACAGATCGTCACCAGAGGCGAGTTCCGCAGAGAGGGTTAGGATCATCACAACGTATTTTGCGACGGCATCACGAACAGAGGCGTGAAGACGGAGAACGGCTTTCCTGCCAACATCATCAGCGTCTATCTAGCTGGTGGGGGTCCCCGGAACGCACCTTTACGTAGGCGTCTTGGATCATCTTAGCAGATGGGAAAAGCGAACCCTGCATCTTCCTGAAGCCATCGAGGAGCTGGTTCATGAAGAAAACATCGTCGAACACGCCACGGGGGACCAGAGCCTGCGCGACGTTGTTCAAGCCTGGACGTGGCAACACGTAACAGGCACTGCTGGTGAGGTACATGTAGGTACAGGTCGGATAATTGCACGTAGATCTTGTAGCTTGTAGCAGCAGCAGTCACACCGCACATGGGCCGGAGCCCCCGCATACCCCTCCGTACAAATTCTTCAATCGGAGGGGGGGGGGGGGCAACACCTACGGACATATTGCTTTTGTTGCACATTCCTTGCTTACCTGAGGCGACGACGGCCTCCTCCAGCGGATTGAAATCGGTATAGATGCGACAGGGGATGATGAACTCTCCGCCGTACAGCTGCAGAGCACAGTGCGTCCTGTGCGCGCCGTCCAGAATCCGTAATTGGAGCTTCGCGGCTGCCGCCGCACTCAGCCCGCCGGCGGGTACATTCGATGCTTCAACCATAGCCAAGATGGCGTGCTGCTGCAAGAATCCGCGGGCTTGCTTCATGGACTCCGTTATGATCCTTACCCCTGACGTTGCTATGGGACGCCCAATTATGTTGACGTTGGTGACAGGGATGTCAAACGTGCCAAGATAGTGTTGTGCCAGCACGCCATTGAGCCCATCCTTCACCCCGGCGATCGGAGTATGTGATGACATGTCCTGCGGCAACCAATTCGTCTAATGCAATACATACATACATACACACAGCGACAGGATGGAGGAAGGGCCGCGTCTGTAAGATGACTACGCCTGTATATGTAAGTCTAAACACGGACACGGTATTGTAGCAGTGGCACGCGAAACAGCAGCAGGTTTTGAAGAGAATGATGCATGTGAGGTTTGGGTATACATACATACTACACATAATGAGGAACATGGTCTACAGGTAGGTGCTTGTTGACGGCTTGTTGGAATTCCTCGCGTGTCGGTTGCATGCCATAATTCGTAGTCACTAGCGTCCAGAACGTCAACGGTGGAGAGTGGCAGTGGCCCCTGTTCCAACCGCTGGTCGCACCGGACCCGGGACGTCAGACCGTTCATGTTGTTATGACGTATGTTTCGAGCGCGGACTACAGACCCCAGTTCAGCGACGCCCACGAGTACAAACGTCTCAACGGTGGCCGCATCAGGGAGTTGAACCACTTCGTGGCTCTGTCTCACTACAACACCGCGAAAAATCACGAAGCTGCAGTCACGAGGATGGCCGGTCTTGTGCGCTTGGCACAAGACGACTGCAAGGAGTCGGAGGCGAGGCTCAAGGAAGCTGTAGGGGACTCGGGTGGTTCACCGTCGGCTCCTCATACCTGCACGGAACTGGCGGACGCGCAGGGCAAGGTGACATCGCGTACAAGTACACGTTGTTCATTTCCCGCGTTGCGAATGGCACGTAGCGTTTCATTGTGTTGCCTGCCCGCGTCCCGGTCTACCCGTGCCGATGTTGTTCTCCCCGTCACCGCTTCCCGGTTCTCTCCGTTGCCTATACCGTTGCCACGGCGTTGAAAAATATGCCAACGTCCGAACTCCAGGCGCAAGAGCAGCTCAGGCGGAGGCAGGTCGCTTAGAGATGTATAACGGGCACGTACTTCGTGAGTGTCGACCTTCATTCGTAGGTAGCGGTGCGGCGCAGAGGTGTGCCTCAACGCGCGTTATTCCAGACCGACGTTCCATCCGTTCTTTGCCCCATTTTGTGCCGGCCGTTGGAATTCGAGGCATTGTTGGGATGTGTTACGGTAGCCGACAGGGAGTTAGAGGCCGATTGCAATTAGGCAGACCGACCTAACGAGAACTGGACGGCNGCGCGTTATTCCAGACCGACGTTCCATCCGTTCTTTGCCCCATTTTGTGCCGGCCGTTGGAATTCGAGACAATGTTGGGATGTGTTACGGTAGCTGACAGGGAGTTAGAGGCCGATTGCAATTAGGCCGACCGACCTAACGAGAACTGGGACGGCGTAGGGACCTTGTGACAGTTTTGGAAATCCTGAGTGAAATGCTTCTTCCTACGGTATGGCGTTGACGTTTACCCGATGCGAAATTTCTACGGCGTCCGCAGACCCCGCTGGCTTCCGCGGCGGAGGTAACCGCGTTGGAGAAGGAGTGCTTCAACAAGCGGNCCGACCTAACGAGAACTGGACGGCGTAGGGACCTTGTGACAGTTTTGGAAATCCTGAGTGAAATGCTTCTTCCTACGGTATGGCGTTGACGTTTACCCGATGCGAAATTTCTACGGCGTCCGCAGACCCCGCTGGCTTCCGCGGCGGAGGTGACCGCGTTGGAGAAGGAGTGCTTCAACAAGCGGCAGGTGAGTCTTTGGGGCTCGGGTGTCGAAGAAGTGGGCAAACAGGAAGGTGATCGCATTCAGGTG